AGGAGGAGGAGGAGGAGGAGGAGGAGGAGGAGGAGGAGGAGGAGGAGAAGAAGAAGAAGAAGAAGAAGAAGAAGAAGAAGAAGAAGAAGAAGAAGAAGAAGAAGAAGAAGAAGAAGAAGAAGAAGAAGAAGAAGAAAAGGGGGAGGGAACCCCACAAGTTTTTGCCTAAGGTGGGGGTCTCTGTTTCCCTGCCACCCTAAAATACATTGAATGGGTTTTTCTCTCCTAGTCTTTTCCCTTTTGAGGAAGATGGCTGGGTGAGAGCGATAACCGCTTTTGCCAAATTGTGTTGGAAAGGCGTGTGTACTCGATTTGTATTTTAAACCTTCAGTCCTATTCTTTTATCCTGCTTATACATGGGTCGGTTTGGCTTCTTTCTTCCTTTTTTAATCTTCTTAACTTGTTTGACTTAAGATCCACAATCCGCTATCTGTCTCGCACTAGGCGCAATTACAAGCATGATCTAGGATTTAAGTAGGGTGTCAAAAAAAAACAAAAAATCCACCCCAACCCAATAAGACTATTTGGAAATATTTGCAATACAGAACTCCTAAGGTTAAATTGGGCAATGCTAATTATACAACAGATATAAATACTTGTCTTCTTCCTACGCTGCTCCAAACGCATTCAAAGTACACAGTGTTACCGCTGGGAGCAAATGACATTTTTTTTCATTTCAAAGTTGCTTTCTTTTTTTTCCCGTTCTCCGCTACACAAGTTTCGGAAAAGCTAAAGCTAGGTCAGCAGCTATTCATTTAAGTTGACGGGTTTTTGGGCCTATTAGAAAATGAATTTGGAGTTGTGCCAGTGACAATGCAAACCAACGGGAATAGTTGGGAAATGAAGTTTGGCAGGACTTATGTCTGTATTTGTTCAGTTAAAACAATGGCAACCAGTTGTTTGGAATAGATGAACTGCAATTAATTATTTTAATTAATTAACTAATTCACCCACCCACCGCCTGGACCATTGATGGCTAACCTTTTTGTCGTTGTGTGGTGAAAGTATGTGTGTGCGCGCGCGACATACACAGCATACACACATGCCTGCACCCATAATGCAATGTATTTGCGACCCCTTCCTGCTTGCCCCACCCCCTGTGCATGCATGTGCTCCCCCTGCTCCCCCCACACATGCGCACATGAGCCCCCCGCACTCCCCTCACCTTCCCAGCATATGCGCACGACCCCCTCACGCCCTATTTTGGGCCTAGTAGGCCTCCCTGCAGCCTCCTGGGAGCAAAAACAGGGCGTGAGGGCCCCCATGGCCTATTTTTGCTCCCAGGAGGCTCCAGGGAAGCCTACTAGGCCCAAAACAGGGAGCGCAGGGGGGCAGCACTGCACACACCCCTGCGCTCCCCCCACGCATGTGCACACAACCCCCATGCTCTCCCCACCCCTGCGCATGTGCACACATCTCCCACAGGCACCCTGTCCCCTGCGTATGAGCGGTAGAGACCCAAAAATAAGCTGGCTGGCAAGAGGCATGCACGGTGGAGCTGAGCTGGGGTGACGGCTCATGTGCCCACAGAGAGGGCTCTGCATGCCACCTGTGGCACGTGTGCCATAGGTTCACCATCATGGGCCCGGACTATCCTGGTGTGATAGCAATAGCAATAGCACTTAGACTTATATACCGCTTTACAGTGCAGTCCAGCCCTCCCTAAGCGGTTTACAGAGTCAACCTCTTGCTCGTCCAACAATCTGGGCCCTCATTTTACCCATCTCGGAAGGATGGAAAGCTGAGTCAACCTTGAGCCGGTCAAGATCGAACTACTGGTAGTTGGCAGAGTTAGCATGCATAACCACTAGGACACCAAGGTTCTCCTTCCTTCCTTCCTTCCTTCCTTCCTTCCTTCCTTCCTCCCAACTTAGCAACAGCACTTAGACATATACTGCTTCACAGTGCTTTTCCAGCCCTCTCTAAGCAGTTTACAGAGTCAACCTCTTGCCCCCCAACACTCTGGGTCCTCATTTTACTCACTTTGGAAGGAAGGAAGGCTGAGTCAACCTGAAGCCTGGTGGGATTTGAACAGCCGATAGTCAGCAGAAGTGGCCTGCAATACAGCACTCTAACCACTGTGCCACAGAGGCTCTCACGTTTTGTATGAGGACTGCCAGAGCCGGGGGAGGAGATGAAAAGAGGGATCAGCTTAGAATCACTATGTAGTCACAAACAAATCCAATCCCTTTTGACTCCCCTTAATTCTCATTTAACTCCAACCAAGTGCTGACCATTAGAGAAGATTACTATGCATAAGTTTTTAGCAATAAAGTAGTTAAATGTGTTGTGGGTCTGGTTTTTTTTCATGCCTGACACCTATTCAAATATTGTTTCCAAATTTTGCACAATTTAGCCAGACCCAAACCCAAAACAAAAACTTACAAAGAACGGTTGCAGGAACTGATTTGTTTTGCCAATATGTAAGACAGAGCATTTATTTGTTGAGATTTGAAGTTGCCATTTGTTTGACCATTCTGATACATAGTCAAGGTCTTTTTGAAGGGTGGCAGTATTATTGTCTGTGGTATTGAACAGCTTTACATCATCAGAGAAGAGAATGCAGTTGCTCTTAATATGATCACAGAGGTCATTTATGTAGAGTATGAAAACAGTTGGTCCTAGAACACTGCCTTGGGGGACACCACTGTTGACAGGTACAGAATTTGATAGGACACTCCCAATTTTGACCATTTGTTGTCTGTTTGACAGGAATGCTTTTATTCAGTTATGCAGGTGTCCAGAGATACCATAAGATAAGATAATAAGATAAGAGATCTGACTGTGTGAAAAGTCCCCAAAACATAAAAATAAAAACCTTAAATGCACCACCCACAATGTGACTTAAAGCGCCCCCCTCCAAGAGATCAGCCAAGCAATTTAAAGAGAGTCTGTCTCTCAATTGGTTTTTTTTCCCTCTTTGTAACCACACATCAAAACCAGCCACCGACCACCATCATTTCCTCAGCAGAACGCTCGTAAACTCTCATTCATACAAATACCCCACAAGGCAACCTCAATGTTCAATCAAAATTTCTTTGTTTTGCAAACGCAGAGAAATCCTTTTTTTGTTTTTCCTGATGTTGTCAACTTGTGAGGCGCTCAGAGTTGTTTCGCCTCCTAAAGCGCAAGAAATACACACTACATTCGATGAAATCTCTGGAAACATCTGGACAGGACCAGGCAGTTTTCATCCCAACTGTTATCTCCAAAGGAAACAGCAGCCGATTTCGACTTGGTGGGAACCAACCGAGGGATGCAGCCAAACAACACTTAATTTTGGTGTTTCATCTTTCTCCTTTCCAACCTTCTGCAGGGAAAGTTACAATGAGTCCTCTTTCCCAAAGTGTCTCAGGTTGCATCTTATTCTTTCCCTTCCCAAAAATACCACGGGGTTGATTTAGAACAGAGTTAGGTTTCTTGGTTATATCTGAGCCTTGGGGGATTGGTTTGATTTCTATAGCACCCAAATTGTTGTCCAAAAAGTGCTTTTTTCCAAGAGGCAACTGGACTTTCTCGTCTTTTCTTTGGAGACGTTTTGCTTCTCATCCAAGAAGCTTCTTCAGCTCTGACTGGATGGTGGGGAACAGAAGGATTGATACTCCTTGCAGGCAGCTGGTCATTTGCATCTTTTTTAGAGGGTCGTTGAGGCCACTTGAAGGTTTGTCTGTGTCCCCAGGGTTACCTGAGTGGTGCAAATGGGTGTGGAGCCTTCTTGGAACGGTGTTGTGGGCTCCACATCCATTTGCACCACTCAGCCGACCCTGATCACATAGACAAACCTCCAAGTGGCCTCAACGACTCTCTAAAAAGGATGCAAATTACCAAGGAATATAAATCCTTCTATTCCCCACCATCTTGTCCGAGTTGGAAAAGCTTCTTGGATGAGAAGTGAAACATCTTCAAAGAAAAACCAGAACGTCCAGTTGCCTCCTGAAAAAGCACCTTTGGGATAACCATGACCTGGATGGCTGGGAATCTCCACAGACACCCACATGGTCAAGTTGGTTATGAATGATTTTTTCATGTTGCAGATCTGTGTGGATTCAAACTTGGTGTGCCTTTTGTGAGACCTTAGCAAGCTTCACACCAGAAGCCAATTAACTCTGGGAGCAGATGAGCTCTGATTCTGCTCCAGCATGCAAAAATCCTCTGCAAAATTGGGAGACTTTTGGTAGGCTGTAATGATTAACTGGTTCTGAAGTTTTCTCCATGTTTTCTCCCAACCTCTTGCATTGAGCCTTCATCATTCTTCCTCAGGACAAGCCTCGTGGTGGAGCTCTTGCCTCACAATCAGGAGGCTGTGAGTTCGATCCTAGCTAGAGGC